TCCCCCCCCCCCCCCACCTGCAGAGAAAGAGGGCAGATCACATCTGTGTGCACTGTAACTTTTTATTTATTCTGCGTCACATGTGCTGACTTCTGTTCTGTGTGTCACACCATAACCTCTGTACTCTGCGTCACACGCTAACCTCTGCACTGTGCGTCACACCCTTAACTCTGCGTCACACCGATGACCTCTGCACTCTGCGTCACACCGATGACCTCTGCACTCTGCCTTACAACTGACCTCTGCAGCTCAGAAATAACATTTTCAAATTGATTCAGGTCCTGCGCCGCAACCTTCTGTGGAACCACCCGACACCGGCTTACAGTGCTTTTGCCGCCCGCACATCTCCCCCTCCTGAGACCAGGCCAGCATTCCAGAGCAAAGAGGCAGAACAGTACCAAATTCATATACTATTATTCTGCATTGCTTTATAATGTATTGTATTGGGATTTGTAGTCCTCTACAGATGATGGCATTCTGCATTAGAGTGTAAGCTCCTCTGTACAGAGACTGCTGTGACTGGTTCAGTGTTCTCTGTACAGTACTACAGTATATGTCAGCTATATGAATGTAAAATGATAGTGTGCGACTATGGGGGGACATTAGAGTGTAAGCTCCTTTAGTGCAAGGAGAGCTGGGCGGGTTAGGGGTCAGTGAGATCCAGTTCCGGCACCCCCCTTGGGAGCAGGAAGGGGGGCCCCGAGAAAAAAATCTTGCACCAGGGCTCTTTGTTCCTTAGGTCCGCCCCTGATCAACAATCTCTGGTGCTTATTGTACTTATAAGAACTCAATAGCCAGTAATATTCTGTGCATTTAGGAATACATCCAGATTTTTTTAAACAGTTAACTGAGCTAGCTAGAACTAGTTCCTGGGGGAGTCTATTCCACATTTTCACAGCTCTAACTGTGAAGAATCCTTTCGGTATGCAAAGGTTAAACCTGTTTGCTTCCAGACGCAAAGAGTGTCCCCTTGTGCTTTGCATAAAGTGAATAATTTGGCACCAAGCTCACAATATGGACCATTTATCTATTTATACATGGTGATCATGTCCCCCCTTAGTCGCCTCTTCTCCAGAGAGAACAAATTCAGGTCAGTTAATCTTTCCTCATAGCTGAGCTCCTCCATGCCTCTTATGAGTTTGGTCGCCCTTCGCTGCACTTTCTCCAGTTCCATAACATCCTTTTTGTGAACTGGTGCCCAAAACTGAACTGCATATTCCAGATGAGGTCTTACTAATACTTTGTACAGGGGCAGGATTATGTCTCTATCTCTGGAGTCTAGACCCCGTATAATACAAGAACATATTTTGGTTGCTTTAGAAACTGAGGCTTGACATTGAATGCTGTTATTGAGTCTATGATCTACCAGAACACCCAGATCTTTCTCCATCATTGACTCCCCCAAACATATTCCCCCTAGAGTGTATGACGCATGCATGTTTTTAGTCCCCAAGTGCATCACTTTACATTGGTCAACATTAAACCTCATTTGCCAAATAGATGCCCAATCACACAGTGCATTCAGATCTGCTTGTAAGTTGGAGACATCCTGTAAGGACTGTATTCCACTACATAACTTGGTGTCATCTGCAAACACAGAAATAGTACTTTTAGGCCTCATTCACACACAACGCAAGCAAAATTGTATATGAGCATCTATGCGCGTATATACGAGCGTATGTGTGTATATGCGTGCACTATTTGCATTCCCAGAATTTTCAATGAACTGTATGCATATACGCGCGTATACACGCGCAAACATGCGTATGCGCGTAAAATACGGAGAAATACGCTGCCCGAATGCATCTCTGTTCCATTCTGATTTTGCGCATATATACGCTACGCAAATATACAGCACCATATGCGGCTATGTGTATGGAGCCATTTATTTGCATATGGTACAATACGCACCTACGCGCGTATATGCGCGGCAGTGTGACTGAGGCCTTAATCTCCAACTCTATGTCATTTATAAATAGATTAAACAATAAGGGGCCCAACACTGAACCTTGGGGGACACCACTAACAACCTCAGACTATTCAGAGTATGAATCATTGATCACCACTCTCTGAATACAGTCCTTAAGCCAGTTTTCTATCCAATTACAGATGGAATGCTCTATACCTTCTGACCTTAACTTATACATTAGCCTCCTGAGGGGAACTGTGTCAAATGCTTCTGCAAAGTCCAAGTATACTACATCCACAGCCATTCCTCTGTCCAATGTATTACTCACTTCCTCATAAAAAGAAAGTAGGTTTATTTTCAAGTAAAAACAATTGCATGTGATCCTTGAACAAACTTTCAAGTATCTTCCCAACTATATAAGTTAAACTTACAGGTCTGTAATTACTTGGTAAAGACTTTGATCCCTTTTTAAATATAGTCAAATAGAGAGTCCCACCGCACTCCTGACCAAGAAGCCCCATATATTGCAGAGGGGTGCTGAAGTGGCTGCGGATGGCGCCGCCAAAAACCAAAACAAATTATCACCAACACTCCAAGTTTATTTTTAAAATGAAATCCTTTATTCATTCTAGCAGGTCATATCACCATGCGTGGCAACGTTTCAGGACCTATCCGGTCCCTTTGTCAGGCAAACAAAAGTGATGATTGTTAAAATCTCCCATTAAATACTAAAGTCTCTTTATTGACGCTGGGGGGCCGGTAACAAACTCCAACAATTACTTTTGCATTATGCACACCAATATACAACTCCACCCATAATGCCTCAGCATCACTACACTCACCAGCAACAAAGTCCTCTTTCACACTATTTTAGATCCCCTCTCACATAGAAACAAACACAGCCACCTTTTCATTTTATTCGGTCTCTCTAGATGAAAGCATAGCCAGGAATATTAACAGCCCAATCATGTAAAGAACAAAGCCAAGATCCAGCAATACCAATTATATTATAGTGCTCCTCATGCACCAAAGCTTCCAATTCTCCCATTTTGCTTGGCAAACCTCTGGCATTGGCAAACACACAATTCTGTTGTGATTTCCATTGTACTTCCTGTCCGGAAACACAGCAGAAAATTAGAGATCTTTTAAAAGGGTAAATCCCCTCTTAGACAGTTGTTACTAAAATAGGTTTTCCCATAGGAAGAATTACCCTTTCCTTCCTGTGACAACTGTACCAGAGATGATGGTCGCCAGGTAGTTCACCAATAGAGAAGGTGACTGTCCCCAGTGGGCACACAGCCAGCAATAACCTGACAGAGGTTCTAACCCTTCCATTCTATCCAGGACTAAAATTAAAACGTTCTGGTGTTACATACACTTAAAAAAACACATTGAAAATAATATAGTTCCCTTTCATGTGTATATACTCTACGTTGCGTTACTTTGAAGTTTTAGCAAAAGTAATGCTTTGACCATCTTTATTGGCTTTTGGTGCAATATTTTCATGACTGTGTATAATAAACATATTTCCTCTAGTAGTTATATGTCAGACAAGTAAATAACGTGTATTGACAGCAGGCAGTGGACCTATTCTATAGCCAATAGTCATCCTGCTATTGGCTATGGAATCCGCCTGCTGTCAATCAGCAGCAGAGCGGACCTGATCGGGAACTAGTCCCTCGGTATACCCATCAGGCTGTACCAAGTTTGCCATGTAATTGGTTCCTCAGAGGTTGTGGGATGTGTAGCCAAAGGCATCTTAGCAACCATTGACTCAACCCTGGCCCCATTCAGCTGCCTGCCTGGAGATTCCCCAGCTGACACCTTGCAACTTCTGCTAGGTGTCGACACCTTGGATGTGTTGTCAGGAGCCCCAGCAGACTCAGAGCTGTCAATCTAGTGAAATTCTATTATATTCCCCTTCGCTCCTCCCCTTGCAACTACCGTATATACTCGAGTATAAGCCATCCCGAATATAGTAGCAAAAGCACTTTACATTATATTCTGAAAATATATACAGTAAATGGAATAGGGTAAAAGATTCGCTGTAGCTTGAGTTCTGCCATAGACTGAACAAGTATGAGAAGCAGCATGGTGGCAGCATTGGGTGAGTGTTTTTCCCCATAGTTCTCTTAAGGATCATGGGAGGACATATTCTAGCGTCCTCCTGTGACCCAAAGCTCAGTATGTCGCGAGCTACTGCTCGCAATATACTGAGACCGCCGCAGCCAGGATGGACAATACTGTTGAGATCTACCAAGCTGTGTCAGGGAGATGAGTTTCATTGTCACACGTCGGCTCGAACTATGAGGATGAGTGATTTTCACTCACCTCATAGTTCTTCTTTAAAGACTGCCAGTTATTTTAACTTTTTTCTGAGAGAGACATGAATGCTGCCATTGCATTTTCTCATGCAAATGCCATTTGTTTTATCTTTTTGCTCCTGCTTCAAAACTTTGGGGATCATTTATGAAAGTTACGCCCCGCATAACACCGGTCATATACCATTTGAATGGCAATAGAGCCCCTAGATGGTGCTGATGAGTATAGGAATTTGCTATTATCTCCAGCACCATTTGGGGGAGCTACTACCATTCGAACAGCATTCATGTGGCTATACACGGGGCAGAATTTCTGTAAGTGAACCCTTTTGTGTCCTTTACCTGAAACAAGCATGCAAATAACATGGCCCTACTTTACAAATCGGTATGCTTGTTCGTGATTAATAACTCAGACTTTATTGAACAATCACTAGCAGGAGCAGGGCAAGGCGAGACTACTGTTTTTTTGTGGAATATCCAAAGAATAGAATTTTCAGGCCTGTAATCAAAGCGTCCTGCCTCAAAAGCTGAGCTCTCACATCGTCACAAACGTGACAGCCATGGTCCGCTCCACTGCACCCAAAAATTAGTAATTTGCTTAACTTGTATTAGCTAAATTCTGGGGGCATTTGCTCTTTAAGCAATAAAAAGAATGTAACCTGTAAACCTGAAAATGTGACAAGAGAAGTTTACTCACCTGCACGACAAAAGAGTGTAATCCATGGCACTGTCCATCTGATGTGTACAGCTGAGCATACACCACAGCATGAGTGGCGGTCTTCCCCATATTCCCCACCCAGAATTTAGCTGCTTCAAAATCTGGGGAGTTTATAATAAATTCCTGGAAATGATAATATAGATCAAATAATGTTACAATGTACCATAATTTTTTTGGAAAAACACAGTCAGTACATACTGTAGTTCTACTCCAATGCTGGTATTTAAAGTGGAATGAAACCCATTGACTTTTCTAAGCTCAAATTTGAATTGTTCAATAAAATTTTATAAATCATCAGATTAAACATATCAGTGTTGTTTTCTGCATTGTTTTCTATTTCTATTCTGACTATTAGCCCATGTGCAGTGTATGCTACATTCAAGGCATGCCTGTGATGATATGTCACAGTTGCCAGTGTGCTTATGTCAGCATGATCTTTCAAGCCCCCATATGGCTGCTGTCAGAGCTGGTCATGTGTGCAGCACAACGGCAGGTTCAGATGTAAATAGAGGCTTAGATGGCACCTACTTTGGGAATTGGGGGGTAAGATTTACAGCATGAAATGGTTTCCGAGGTGATCAAATACATCTTTCAGTTTTATACATCAAGGGCCCTCTAACAAGAACAGAAATACAGATTCCCCCCTTTTTTTTTTTTTTTAATAAAACATGAATATTAGAGAAAAGAGAACCATAACCTGTTGCACTAACCATGGAGTCGGGACCTGCCAAATGTTTATCAATATTTGGGTCTCCTTTAAATCTAAATTCCAGGATGGAAAAAAACCCTTCCAGTGGGCACTCCTACACTACAAGGGTTAAATTCATTTTAAGCCTAGGGGGTAGAGGAAAAGGCTGGAATGCATAGCTCATTCATTGTCCCAGCGCTCTCCTCTGCTCTCCAGTGCTCTGGGTAGTGGGCTAGCCCTCGGCATCCTTGTATACATTGCAAGACTATTGGGGTCAGGATTATTAATCTTAAAAGTAGAAGCCAGGAGGCTAAACTTGTGTTGTTTTGCAAGCAGTGCATGGATGCTGTACTAAACAACCCCTGCAAGGGTATCCGATTTCAATGTATGAACTTTTGTTTAAATAAAAAGGCCCTTAAAAAAAGATATTGCGAGTGGAATGCATCCTTAAAGCACTCACCATATGTGCTAATATCCCCAAACATCACAATATATGGACATACACACACACACACACACACACACACACACACACAATATTTGTTGATAGAGAGAGAGTAAAGCTGGCCATACACTGCTCAAATTGTGGCCAAGTCCTGCTGCTGGCATCACTCCGATTGCCAAAATTAGGTCTTTCAATAGACTTTAGATCAGGGGTGTCAAACTCAATTTAATCGAGGGCCACATCAACATTATGGTTGCCCTCAAAGGGCCTGTAAGACTATATAAATGTATCTAATCTTTATCATAATTGCCTCTGCATTCGATTATCACTGGTTTTAGTAATAACTTAATACCTGGATCTGAAAGTAGAAGTCTAGGAAATGGCCTCCTTGAGTTTGACACATGCTTTAGATGAAGGAGCCAAGCCAAATAGAGACAACAGCCAGTCAGCTGCAGTCACTGTTTAGGTATTCTGAAAGCCATGCTGATTAGCGTGGAAGGGGAAATCAGGAGTTTTTTCTCTATTTTGGCCCCAGATCGTATGGCCAGCTTAAGACAATAGAAAACAGATATAAAATAACACCGGTTTAAAAACATATAAACAATAACACACAATTACAAGGGATGGACCAAAAGCCATTAGTGTCTCCTTTAAATCCAAACGTAACATTTTGTTGAGGATCTCCTTCATCATACCTTTGTCGAAGCATCAAAGTTTGCAGTTGTGCGGATGGCTTTTGTATTGCTGCCATGACTCAGCTCTGTGAGTGCAAAGCATCCAAAAATCTACAGAAGCAATAAATGTATTCATGTTAAATTTGAGAAATAATTTTAAACTCATCGCTTTGGCAGACAAATGAATACTCAACATAACTGTTAATGTCAGATCTGTTAAACAGTTGTCTGTAGAGAGAGAGAGAGATTATAGTAGGGAAAAAAACATACACACCCATTGCACTCCTGACTGGATACAAAACCCTAATTGTTGGGTGGGTGCTAAAATGACCGCGGATGACTCCGCAATATAAAAGGTGCCCATACACTGTGCGATTATCGTACGATAATCGCAAAGTGTATGGAAGGCGTGCGACCGTTTTTACTGTACGGTCGCACGTCTTTTGTCTAAGGAGCATGCTAGAAAACCAGCCGAGAATCGTACGATTTTCGGCTGGTTTTTAGCATGATCGTAAGATCAATGCCGCATGGGCCGGTGTGCGCACGCGCACACTTCCCGTTCAGCATTGCGGTCATCGGAAGCCCGCCCCTCAGGGGGGCGAGCTTGCGATGATCGCAAGTACGATCTGCCTGTCCAAGATGGGCAGATCGTACGTTTTTTTAATTACTTTACAACCATCGCAAGACTAAGGTCTTGCGATGGTTGTAAAGTGTATGGCCACCTTTAGTCCAAAAGAAAAAAAAAAGGTCACAAGCACTCCAGCATGTAGAAAAGTCAATGTTTATTGACTTCACAGGTGTCACATCATCAGAGCTCTGATATTATAGCTCTTTAGATTATAGTAGGAAGGTACTTAAACTAAAAAGGTGCCCATACACCTGCCAATTATCGTACGATAATCACGGGTGATCCTGCGATCGTACGATAATTGGCAGGTGTATGGAAGGCGTGCGATTGTTTCTACTGTACGATCGCACGTCTTTTGTCTTCCGAGCACGCTTGAAAACCTGCTGAAAATCGTAAGATTTTCGGCGGGTTAGTGGCGTACTTGGAAGACAAATGCCGAACGGGCCGGTGTGCGCAAGCGCACACTGCCCACTTGTACAGTGTAGCATTGCAGTCATCGGAAGCCCTCCCCTCAGCGGGGCGGGCTTTCGATGATCGCACGTACGACCTGCCTGTCCAAGATGGGCAGATCGTACGAGATTTTAATTACGGTACCTCACAACCATCGCAAGACAAAAGTCGTGCGATGGTCGTAAGGTGTATGGCCAGCTTAAGAGAGAGAGTGGTGCATCCTCACAGTCCGCAACGCCCCACCACTCTTCCAAAATGTTGCAGCATTTACCCTCAAATGTCCAGTGGTATCCAGATAAAAGTGACATAAACAAAGCTATTATACTGTAGATGGTCCATTTTCCTTTTTTGGTAGGCCTCCCACTCCTTACACTGGAGTCACTCATAATGAGCTGAATGAAAGATGAAAAGCCCTCTGGTACTGCATGTGTCCATAATATGACAATTTCTATGATTTCTAGTTGAAGGTCAGCATTTAGTCCATATCTACACATATCTGTTGAAAATTCATGCTGCTTTATTTCCGAAATGTAGGATGCATACCACATCTTCTCAGTGTAGGCAATACTAACTTTAGATTGAGTATGGAAGAGTTAGAAGTTCTGTCCAAATGTTTTTCGTTCCTTTTTATTTCATGGATATTAGAACAAGAACAGCGGATACATTTCCCCAATGGAAACATAAGCAATCAAAACTATTAGTTTTGGTCAGAGGTTCATTCCCGGTGACAATGATGATCAGCAGGGATGAGCTCACATTCAGACCCAACCTGATCCAAACCTGAGCTTCTCTAAACAAGGAAGTGCCAGGCCCATGGGCACTTCCACCCAATCAGCAGAAGGACAAGCTTTCTACTCCCCACAGCTGCATGTAAATAAAGGGGCGGGGTTGCTTTGTGATGATGTCATTTACCTTATATGACAACATAGCCAGGTTAAAGTGACATTAAAGTCCACTGCCCCCATTATTTGATGCCTCTTGCTGCGATCATCTTCCTTCTACTTGTCTCTGACAGTCCCTCCAGCGCTGGTGGTGGTCTCTGATCCACCGCAGACTCCTCGGGTCCCACGGTGTCTGTCTGACGTGTGCGCTCCCGGCTGCCAGACTGCATCCATTGAGTTTAATTTACTCTCCTCTCCACTCTATAGCGCATGCGCCTGCACACTTCTTCCTCACAGCCGTTCGGAAGTTGGGAGTGCTTCAGCCGGGAGCGAACGGCTCTGGAACAGGTAAGTAATTAGGTATTTGCCTCATTTATTTTTTTTAATCATGGGGCATATACAGTATCTATTGCTTACTAGATAGAGTTTAATTATACTTCTTTAAGTAGATCTCATTTACCAAACATAGGCATGCAGCCATGTTAGATCAATGAGATAATTGCATCCCACCTGCAGCTACTTGGCACCATGGAATGAACTTCCTTCTGTGTTTGTGAGGAGCTTCTTCCAGGTTCGGTAGAGCTTAGGTTCGGGTCAGGTTCAATCCGAACCTGAGCGCATCCATAGTGATCAAGACAATTAGAGAGTGTAAATCTCCCAACGAGTAGTAAAGTTTGTCACCAGCACACCGTGGTTAAACCTTCAAGCAGTGACCATCATCATCATGCCTGAGGAAGGGACCCCGAGTGGCCCCAAAACGTTGCTATGTGACAAGATGTGTGTGCATCAATAAAATGATCACTGCTTGAAGATTTAACCCCGGTGTGCTGGAGACATACTTTACTACTTGAATCTGAAGAGGCGCCATCCGCAGTCACTACAGCACCCACAGCAAGGGACATACCAGTAAGGAGTGCTGAGGGACTCTCCTGCATAATCTTCCAATGAGGACACAAACAGAAATTAAATCCTAAAAGGGGTTCTAAACCGTCACTACTCTATCCAAATCTAAAAAATAAAGTTTTGTCTTTAGCTTTACTTTAAAATCTGATGAGGTTTTATTTGTTCCCCACTTCCAGAAACTAAGGGCAATCCATCACACTGCATTTAATGCAAAATAACATGCATTGCATTAGGGCAGGCCATTTCTTTAAATAGACAGCCGAACACACAACAGCAGATTAAAATGATACCAGCTGCTAGGGAAAGATACCGCAACGCACAGTGTGTTACCACGAGCTGTAAAGCAGGTGTGTTGTGGAGGTGCTTTGGGTTGTCGTCAAAAATGAATCGCAATGCAGTGCACCAATGTAGGTAACGTGAGTTGCTACAATGCAATGGTGTGAACAATTTGAATGGATGGCACTCATGGCCACGGTAAAGGTCATCATGGTGGTACAGTGAAGAGGCACAATATCCGGGGAACACTGCTCTATGCAATAAAGATGGTGAATCTTATAATGTAACATAACATAGAGGCCATACAGAGGAACCTGTTACTTGTTTCATCTGTTAGAACGTACCTCCATATGCCTTGTTTGGTTTAGAAAGGTCTGATGCCTCTCAGACCCGCCATTTCCAACAGCACCCGCAAACACCTGAGATACAAAGACAGACAATCATTAACAACTGCGTAAGGTGAACATTAAAGAAGAACTCCGGGCATATGAAATCTTACTCCTTGCAGTGGGGCTACCCCTGCGCTACAAGGGTTAAGGGTTTGCTTTGTCTAGGGAGCTAAAATAACAAAGATATACTGATAGACTGGTTCCTGCAGCCCTGCTCCCCCTATGCTCCATCAGTCTTAAGAACCCGTGAGTCATCACATCCTATACAGTGTATTGGACGTGAGGACGCCAAGGGACATTACACCGCTGGAGCAGAGGGAGAATGAGGTTGCAGGGACATCTCTAGCAATCAGGCAGGCTTGTGGTCAAGTGAGTATAACTTTGCTATTTTAGCTCCCTATACAAAACAAGCACTTTACCCTTGCAGTGTGGGGGTAGCCCCAGGGCCAGATTTCCCACCTGGCCAATAAGGCTTGGCCTAGGGGTGGCAGGGAGTAAAGGGGCGGCAGGGACGTGGAATTCCTATCGCCCAATGCTGGGACATGCAGTTCTGGGCGGTTAGTTTTTTCTACATTTAGTCCTGCTTCAGGCAAGCAGAGCTAAATGTAGAACGGGGAAGCTACAGTTCGTTTTGTACAAGTGATCCCGGCGATGCCGAGAAAACTTGCAATTAGCCTGCTCGTCCGTCCTCCCCTGCCGCCCCCACCTCCGGCTGCCTCTCTCCTCCCTGGTCGCCTCCCCGCGGGGGTTTTCGGGGTACCTCCGCTCTTCTGGGGGACCCGGGACCACGGGACACATTTATTCAGGATGGAGAGCGGGGAGCAGAAAACATCCGTTCTCCGCTCAGCTCCGTGTAACCACTGAGATGGGAGAGCTGCATTCAAAGCCTTCCCATCTTAGTTGTCACAGAAGTTCCAGCACAGTGCTGTGCTCAAACTCCTGTATTGGAGGTGACAGATCAATAAAGAGAACCTGTCACCTCCAAATGCTATCACACTGGGGCTTGTTAGCTCCTGTGTGATAGCAATAAAGTTAAGTGGAGAAAAAATAAATAGAAAATAAAAAATGTAAAAATAATAAAATGATTATGTTTTTTTTTTTTTTAAAAGTAAAGATAATAAGAAATAAAAAATGTAAAAGTAAAAAATAAAACAAAAATTCAAACCAACCCCCTCCTCCCCCGCCATCTGGTCTCCATTCTCCATGGGGGGTTGGGGGCGGTGTTTGGTGGGAAGGGTGGCGCATTGAGGAACCTGGCCTTGAGGCAGCAGAGAGAGTAAATCCGGCCCAGGGTAGGCCCACTACAAGGGTTACGGTTTCATATACCTTAAGTTCTTCTTTAATGGGGTCATGTTTTGGTGAGGTGACTGTATTAAAGTACCTGAGTATTCAGGAAATATTTTGCAGCAAGCGACCAGTCATACATGCCCAGACAGTTTATAAGCACCAGAAGTTTCTGAGGTTTCTCCATGGTTGCCTCGAAGGTCAGGAAATCATATTCGAATATCTTCTTGCAGCGCAGAAATGTCAGCTCTCTGTACTTCTCCAGACGTAGCTCCTCTCCAGGTTGGCGATAGAAAAGCGGGTCATTCTCCAGCGTGGAGAAGATTTTGTTCTGGGGAAAGCAGTGTAAAAGGGGTTATTTTATAATAGATAAAGAATAAACAATTGAAGTCAATTAAACAATTGAAGTCAGTTTCAAATTTAAAGTGAATCTATGCCTTGCCCATGCATGGTAGGACGATAGAAGCAGATTCATCTCTGTGAGTTCTAGTTACCTATCTTTCACTTTTCTCTGAGAATGTAATTGAATATAATTGACAACACTTAAGATTTAATAACTTACTTTAAAAGCAATAATATCTTCATCATCCAGAAACATCATCATATCCTTCCAGTTGAAGGAGGCCTTTCTTCTGTATTCAGAGAGTGGTCCATTAGGCAGATCCGGCAACCAGTCGTTAATGGAGGTTGCTGTGGGGGCATCACAGTTTTTGGCAGCAATCATCGCAGGTTTGCTTCAGAAAACAGAATAATGTTATTCCTTTTATTAGACAGAAAGGAATACACTGCAATGTTACACAAAAATCAATCAGGCTTCAGGCCGAAAGGAGGAAGAAAGAGGGATCTGGTTTCACGGTGCGTTGCAGGTCTTGTATTGCAGTAGCATGCTCCTGTACCGAGTCCTCCACCCCAGACACCCGCGCCTCCGCCTGGGACATCCTGCCCCGAATTTTGTCCAGATCATGTCTGATCAATGTGCACTCCACCGCCAGATGGTCTATTTTGGCTGTGAGGGTGATTTTACAGCCCTCTATGGCCTCCAGGATAGCTGTTATCTCAGCCCTCTCCTTACTTGTGGTCGGTGGGGAGAGAGGCTGCTCCGGAGGGGCCAGCGCCACCTCAGCAGCGTCTGCAGCTATTCCCTCCATGCACAGGGTCCGGCGTGAGCACTCACAGGGAGCAATGGACGGCGGCAAGATGGCGGCGGCGGGACACGAGGCCGCACGCTGGGATCTCCTCCAGCCACCTTTCGGGGTATTACCTCGCTTGCCAGACCTAGAGGGCATATCCCCCTGCTCCGGACATCCACCGGAGCTCGGGTGTGAAGAACAGGAACCGAGTCTGAAGGACTAAAGCCGGATGAAGCTCAGTGTGGCGGCGGAGCTCCCTCAGACACGTCCGCTCTGCTTCACATCTCGGCCACGCCCACAGGTCATTAACTTAAAGGTAACTGTGACTAATGGCCCTGGAATTATTGCTCTCATTTTGCTGCGCATGGTAATACCAAACGGGTGGCGCAAACGGGTGGCGCAGGATTTTCGTACTGTATGTAGGCGCATCTGACACGTGTTTGTGTTAGTATGTGCGAGTACGCGGGGGGCTTGAACAAAATGTTTTTTTAATTTGTCTTATTTAACTTTATTTTTTAAAGCATCATGTTTTAAATAAGCCCCGTATGTAATAGCATATTCATGGTGACAGGTGCTCTTCAAGAAGAAACCTCTCTGGCTAGGGAATGACAGCTGAGAACCTGGAAGTGACAAAATCATCGTCACCAGGTTCATCCAGCAGGAAGGAGACCAGTGGATGGATGTTTACTGGTCTCTCTCCGTTAACTCTGCTGTCACCTGCGACGCTGGTCCCGAGGGAACGGAGAGGCGCATGTTTCAGAGCCCGTGTTTTACAGCTGCCTGAATCATTCCAGTGTAAAGCTGACAGTCATCTTTACACATATAAACAGACTCTGCTTACAGGGCCCCACTGCAAAAGGGTTAAAGTGGAATTCCAGGATTCTTCAAAGCAAGCACTTAACCCTTGCAGTGCAGGGGTAGTTCCACTGCAAGAGTTAGGCCTCATTCATACAGCTTAAAGTCGGCCCGTAGAGATCCGTGCGGCGTGCACAGGCGTATCGGGCCGTTCCCGGGAAGGACAGGTGCTGTGTGTGATTGTACGCAACAGCCTGTTCTTCCCTATGGGAGGACGTGGCCGTACATCCATGCAGGTGCGGGCGCCCGTACTCGTACACAGACAGAATCTATACGGGCCGACTCTAAGCTGTGTGAATGAGGCCTTAAAAGAGAACTATGAGGTGAGTGCTTTCCACTCACCTCATAGTTCTAGCCGACCTGTGACAATGAGACTGTCACAGGTCGGCTCAGTAGATCGGGAGGTGAGCGAACACAAATACCGGCATTCGCTCACCTCTCAATCCTGTCGCCGCTCTCTGCCGTGACAGGGGAGGGGCTGGATTCCCCCCGCTCGGCCAGCGCTGACTGGCGGAACGGACGTGGAAGGGGGGGGGTACAGCTGGCTCTGCCTCTAGATAGGCAGAGCCAGCTGTCAGTCGCGCAGCTGGGCGGATCCAGACATAAATGTCGGGATCCGCTTCAGCTGCAGCGTCTTAGTATACCGCGAACAGCAGTTTGCAGTATACTCCGTCGTCTCAGTATACCGCGTGCTACAGCTTGCGGTATACTGAGCCTAGGGTGACGGGAGGACGCTATTTTGTGTCCTCCCGTTCCCTAAGGAGAACTATGGGGAAACGCCTTAACCCCATAGTTCTCCTTTAAGTGCTCACTTTGGTTTGGGGACGAAAATAAAGAAAATATACTCACCTGATCCCAGATCCAACATGGCTGCTAGACTGATCTCCACAGCTTTTTCTCCCCTAGGCTACGGTAATCTAAGGCCTCATCAGGTCTAATTCAGGAAGCTGCAGTGGGGTGGAGGGAGCCCCACTGCAAGGGATAACTTTTCACAATCCTGGAGTTTCTCTTTAAGAAATATGTGCGTGTTTATTTATTGTTCACCTTTTAATAGATAATTATCAATAACTGACATCCAATTGGTAGATATGACATATGCAGGGGATGCCAGATTCTTCAGGTTTATTTCTGAATAAGCAATATACTGCAACAAAGAAAGCAAAAATAAAACAAAGCTCACTACAAGACATGCTTGGAGCGTCCGATTCCTACAAAGCATGTCCAAACATTTGCACAATCTACATTTTATATCCCTCAATCTGTTAGGAAATCGTTATTGTGCAGTAATGTACAGAAATATATCATGTTGAAGTTTGCTCCCTGCAAAGCTTGTGTTGGCCTACCTTGGAGAAGCGGCACGACAAGTCACTGGAGCAGGAATGTCCCAGCGTCGCATGATATGATTTAATAGAAACATCACCAAGGGCCATAAATAACATTATACTTACTAATAGCAGACCCGGAGAATCCACAGATTCACAAAGAGTGAATATTTATCAGAAGGACGGCTAGGCAAGAGCTGAGTACATGCAGATGTCAGGATCACAATGGATTACTCTTCAACTGAATATTATTTGCTGACACTGATCATATTGATAAAGCGTAGCCTGGACTTAGAACTTTATCACAGTATGGGTTACAAGTCCTTTCCCACTTGTCGTATTATACCCAGGTCAGATGTGTTTATCTACATAGATATTATAGGGAACTGGAAATATGGATGTGTACTAGAAATCTACATTCATGCAGCCTAGCAGCACAGAAAATGCAATGAAAACATAAATATATAATATTGTAATAACCTCCAATAGTTAAAGGGTATCTTAAAAATAAATCTGTATTTCTATATTAAATTTCCATATGTTCTATCCCAAACCCAATAATCATATTGATCTGGAAGTTTGTAAACTTACTTATTGAAGATGCCCATAGGATGTACTTCCTCAATGCACTGACGTGTCACAACTCTCACACAGCCTGCCTTCTGAACTACAATTTAGCATCTGAACAATGTAACATTATCATTGATGTCTGGAAGCAATGCATGCTGGAATATGTCGTCTCCAGAAATGGAGATTGCATCACATCAAGCAGCAGGCAAAGAGATGCAGCACACTGGGGATCCAGGAAGTTGATGAAAGTGATGGGCAGACGGAAGGCAGTACTCACTACATAAAAGTAAGCTATGACTACATTATCAGAAACAAATCTAGTATGTATTCCTATTACAATGCTGATGTTATAACAGCAGAAGGTATGGTGGGACTTTACATCTCCTTTAATATAATAACACAGTGTTTCCCGCTGCTGTATTTGAGGGTGTGCTATCCTTGGACCTAGCAGACGTGAGATGAGTAATAGCCATTTCTGTGTGAAGAATTGGGACAGGTTCTCATTGTTTTATACCTAATTGCAAAGCCTGAAAAGTTAGTTTTGGAGACTAAATGGTACAGATACTTCTATGTATCTTTATATGTGTTTACCAGTGACTATAGCCTTAGGTGAAGGATAGATCATAGTATGCTTAAAAAATACATTCAAGTAACATAACTATTTACAAAAATGTATCTTATTTGTGTATCACTCGGCTGTAGATCCTCAAATCATCTCTGAATTGGTGCTGACACTGTCCTTCCTTCTGGAGGGGGGCTACTTTTCTTCCCCATGGTCCCTGTGTGTGATCTAACGTAGTCACTGCTCCAAGCTTGCTTCTGTGATGGACTACAATCTCACGTTTAGTTTATTAATTTGTATTGTGATTATAGTCCATCACAGGAGTGAGCTTGGAGCAGTGACTACTTTACAGTACACACAGGGACCACGGGGAATACAAGTAGCCACCCTCCAGAAGGAAGGACAGTGTCGGCACCAATTCAGAAATGATTTGAGGATCTAAAGCCGAGTGATACACAAATAAGATACATTTTTGTTAATAGTTAAGATACTTGAATGTATTTTTAAGATTTAACTCCTGAGTTTAGTGTCACTTTAATGTTTGGTTATTCTATTTCAATTTATACAACCAGCTGGGCCCCTACATCGCCCACAACGGCCCTTGCCGGGGAAATCCTTAAAGAAGATTAACCCTTGCAGTGGGGGTACTCCCGCACTGCAAAGGTTAACTGCTCATCGAAAAACAATAAAACGATTTACTTTTTTTTTAACAATTAATTCCACGGTCACATGACTGTTTAGTCCTACTCCTCTCCTACAGCTCAATGGGGTGGGGGGCAGAGAATGCGAATAATACTCATCAGCTTCTGCTGACATCACAGAACCGAGAGAGGACCATTGTCCCCCATGTACCGTAAACCCGACTCGGGCTGTAGGCGGGGATACAGGAATGATTGACATCCCTTGAAAACCCCTGCCAAAAGCTGCTGTACTTACAACGTGGAGGGCTGGACAGGAGCACGGCAGTAGTCCAAAACTGATATTGATACACAGGAATTAACACAACATGCTGCAGTTTTCGCCCCGCTGGTGTCTTTTACAAATAAATACACAAATGTTAAATTAATTGAAAACAGTGTCTCCTGGGATGTCAATGCAGCCCATGTAATTCAACAATGGGCAGAACAGACCGAGAGTCTAATAAGCCTGGGCAATTCCATTGCTGCTCATGTAATAGATCAGGGGTAGGCAACCTGGCACTCCAGCTATTGTGGAACTACAAGTCCCACGATGCATTGCAAGGCTCTGACAGCCACGGCTCTTAGAGGCATGATGGGATTTGTAGCTTGACCACAGCTGTAGTGCTGAGAATGCCAACCCCTGTAATAAAACTACTGAGAGGAAGATTGTAAGCTCCTCTCACAGGCAGAGTCCTCCTAACCCTCTTGTCTTGTATAGTATTGTAACTGTTCTGTCTTCCTTTATTTTTTCTAAAAGCATTGCACAAACTGTTGTTGCTGTATAAATATAAATCCGGTGTAATGTTACAAATAATATATAAAAAAGCATGTTAAAATTGGATTTGATATACAGATTACAATCATTGCAAGAAATACCTTTGGCAACAGTGGTGATTTAAGAAGTAACTTCTGATTGGCTGCTATGGGTTTTGGCAATGTGCCTTATTGAACAATCCGCCCTCTTCCTTCAATGTAAATGCATTATGGCTCACCTGTGCTCAGAATACAACCTCTGACAGCACCAGCCAGCAGCAGGACCTGACCACACAGATACTTCCTGTAGGTGGAGCTAAATCCGCCATCTTTGTTAAGGGAAGCAGGCCAGTAACTAATTATTTTTATGTATCTTTATTTATTTCTCAATTGTGGTTCTAATACTTCTGTAAACACGTTTTACTGCAATTTGCTGAGGACTTTATAGATCTTGCTGTCCAAAGCGTGAAATCACAATGGTAACATACGTCGATACTGTGTGCCCGATGTGTGATGGAACCTCTTTATTTCTATGTCCGCTAGAGTTCACCCGCGGCGGCCATTTTGTTGTAGACCAGTGTCGTGTTATTCTATGGTTAGATTCAGGAGACCAGATTCCGGAAGTGGAGACAGTCTTGGAGAGGCGGATACGTCATCTCTCAGAGACGACGGTGTGCGGGCTGCATAATGCCAGAGTTGGGCAGCGTGTGTGTGAGGGATTCCGGGGGCACGGTGTTGCCGGGAGGGTTCTGGTCGGCGGTGTCGGTGTGGCTGGAGAAGGCGCAGGTGTTGAATAAGAGGCTATGCGGCTCTTCTATAGAGCAGAGCTGTGATCTGCGGGGGCCCCAGGAGGGGGAGGGGACTCTACGGGAGCTGCTTCCCCTATTGGACGGGCTCAGCGGCTGTGAAGGAGATGAGGAGGTGCTGAGAGCCATCAGAGCCAATGAGGAGGCGGGAGAGGGCAGAGTCCTCCTTCTGAGGAGCCTCATCCCCAAATCCAACCCCCATTACTGCTCCACGGTGCCCCGGAGAGAGCTTGTCATCAAAGGTGAGCAGCAACACCGCTGTTGTCATGGTGCCACGCACACTACAATCCAATCATCATGGGGCTGCGTTCACACCTTTGCCTTTCTGCTCAATGCATTTTCCAATGTAAACAGGTGATAAGACGCATGTTCACATTCAATACCAAGTGCATTGCAATGTACACATGCATTTCTATTGACCTCAATGTGTTGGGGAAAAGCGCAGGGGTGTAAATTCAGCCGTCATACACGTGTGATACAGAGATGCACGTGATGTACATTAGCGTGTTACCCTCCAGAAGGAAGGACAGTGTCCGCATGAATTCAGAGATGATTTGAGGATCTACAGCCGAGTGATACACAAATAAGATACACTTTTGTTAATACGGATGCATTGAAATTTCGGCTGTTGAAACATATTGTCTGAAAGTGCCATCTTTGGGCCGATATATCGGTGCATCCGTTCTTTCTCTCCTCCCTCTGGGCGCTGCTCTTTGTCCCAGCGAGGAGGAGAGAAACTCTCACAGGAGGCCTAGCGGTGCGGGAGGAGAGTGCCGTGAGTGGCCGGCGTCTCTCCGCACCGCTCAGGCTCCTGCGGCAGTGTGGGCAGAGACAACTGTCACTGGAGGCTGTCTGGCAGGGGAGGAGTCAGCTGTCAGATCGAGCTCTCCTCCCCACACCGTTCGCTCAGCCTCCTGTGACAGCCGATCCAGGATGGAGAGCGGGTACAAACACTCAGTGGTCAGTGATCGCTGAGTGTTTGTAAATAATTGAGGACATAGTATGGTTACTATATCCTCAATTATGAATGAATGGGAATGATCTACATCACCTCCTGTTCATTCATGATTGTGGACATGGTAAACATACTCTGTCCTCGTGTTATGAATGAACAGGAACACTCAGTATAGAGGATTCATGTTCATTCATAACAGGGGCTGAAGAGAAAGAGGACTCTGTGTCCTCAACCTCTTTTTCTATTATAAAAGGGAAATATCATGGGTCTGTTTAGACCAGGGGTAGGCAACCTTGGCTCTCCAGCTGTGCTGAAACTACAAATCCCATCATGCTTCTGCCTCTGGGAGTCATGCCTGTGGCTTGCAATGCCTTATGGGATTTGTAGTTTCAGCACAGCTGGAGAGCTGAGGTTGCCTACCCCTGGTTTAGCCCCCTAAAATTTCCCCGAAGCACCTAAAAATAAATCTTTACCGCGTTTCCATTGGGATACAGCCAAGTAGCCCTCGGAAACGGGCGTTTGGCGCGCGTTTTTTTACCGCGAATCGCGGTAAAGACGCGAAACGCACGACAAACGCGCATATTCAATACGCCTAGGTGTGAATCCAGCCTACTAATATGCTATCACATAGGCCTTTTGTAAGCCCTCTTATGAGATAGTAATAAAGTAAGAAAAAGTTTAAAAAATAAGAATAAAATAAATGTAAAAAAAGTCCCAGCCTCCGCGAGCGTCAGAAAAAAATTGCCGTCTGGAGACGGCAACCCACAGATGCTGCAGTGCCGTCCGTCCGTTTTTTTACTACGGGCGGACGGCAAGAGGTTAACATAAACACACGTAGGGTGCGCCTGTGTACCAAATGAGGATCACTATACCATCGTTGGAGCAAGAGCAATAATTCCATGGCCAATATTCATAGATATCTCTAAACTGATGACCTGTACGGGCTTATGAAGTGTCACCTACGGGCAATTTGGGGTACCGTATTTTGTTGTCGTTTAACGGCCGCATGGAATTTTTTACCTATCTACTTGTTGTAACCTCATCTTTTTTATTTTACCCCAAAAAAATGGGTATTATATTGTGTTTTCGGGCACTAAACTTAACCTAAAAGAGAACTATGGGGTAAGTGTTTTTCCCTGTAGTTCTCTTTAGGGTCACCGGAGGACATAAACTAACCTCCTCCCATGACCCAAAGCTCAGTATATAGCAGGCTATTGCCCGCTATATACTGAGACGCCGCAGCCGGGACAGATCCCGACAATTATGTCTGGATCCACCCAGCTGCGTGATTGACAGCGGGCTCTGCCTATCTAGAGGCAGAGCCAGGTGTACCCTCCCCCGTTCATTCCTCCACTCAGCACTGGAGGGGAGGGGGGAGCCCCTGCAGGGAGCCGTGACTGACAGTCACCACTCACTGCAGGGAGCCAATCGGGAAGTGAGCAGATCGATGCATGTTTCTGCTCACCTCCCGATCAATAGAGCCAACGCGTGAGAGCTTCTTTGTCACAGGTCGCCTCTAACTATGAGGATGAGTGGAAATCACTTGCCTCATAGTTCTCCTTTTTAAGTGCATTTTTTACTAAATTTTTGGGTTTGATAAAGATTGGAGCTAATATCGTGCAAAGTGAAAATCTGCTACTGCTGCCATTTTATTCTACAGATCTTTCAGAAAATAGATAATATTTGGGGGTTTTGAGCAATTTTCAGGCCTAAAATGTGGATTATAACATGGGTGCAAAACACGAATAAAAAGGTGAAAAGTTTAAAGTTGACAAACAGTTGGCACTATATAAATCCTGTATAATGGGAATGTGCACATTTCTGTACGTTATGACCTGCGCTGACAATCAATACAAAGTGCATTGCAATACACATTATAAACAATGCATGTTATCACATGTTTACATGCGTGTTAAAGCGTTTCTATTGATATGAGAAATACAATGTGACAATGATGTTGTTGCATTGTATTTCCCAATGACACCTCCAGACACTGCTTAGAAGTAACATTTTGCAGAGGAGCTGCTGCAGCTGCAATACAAAGCAAGTCCCCTGTGTTATTTTGCCAGCCGGCATTTGTTATGTCAGGGAAAGAGGCCGGAAATGGTTAAAGGTTAAAGGGATTGTTCATTTTCTCTATAATGTGTAGCGGGCTACCGTGCTTGCACAAAGTGTTCTCTGCTCCTCTGTATGGGTATTCCAGGTTCCGATAATCCCTTGCTATTGAATGAGGACACTTCCAGAAAACAGTGTCAGTTGTGTCTTTCTATGAAGTTATCTGAAGTCAGTTTTGTTCTCAGCGTGCTGTTTACATGTGCATGACTGCTCCATTACAGTGAGGTAACCGGGGCCCTTAAAGCTGAACTCCAACGTTAGATTTTTTTCCCCACACTTGTAATAAGTTCTGTGTTAAGGGCCCTGTCACTCCATATCTGGACCAGATCTGCATGCGTTTTTTATGTGTTCCAGTGCGTGTTTTTATTTTTTGGGGGGGGTGTCATTATGCAGATTAATCTCTGAGGTCACTTCCTGCTCCATGTCATAGCACTTCCTCTTGTTTGTGTGAGCTTGTGAGCAAACATGTTTGATTTGTATGCAGGCATGTTCTTTGTGATGGCTATTGCAAAAGAGCGGTATGCATGCAATCAATGTGCAGCTACAGCAAAAGAGAGGCGTACATGCAATCAGTGTTCGGATACATCAAAAGAGCAGTATGCATGCAATCATAATACATGAAGTGTTTTGTACTCACGACAGCGCTCCTTTTCGGCTCTTCTCATTTGTGTAAAATCAGGATCAAATTTTGATGTAATTGAACGCCATTTTTCAGTCCTGCGTGTATTGTTTTTGTAGTCGGGGTGTCTCAGGTCGTATAGTTCAGGGAACTCCCTTTTTTTTTTTTTTTAATTCTGTTGCTTTCCAGTGCGGTGCATTTGGGACGCGATCCGGTGCAGAGAAAAAAAAATATTGGTACTCGATACCAAAAAAGCGATATCGGTGCATCCCTACTTTAAAGGGTATCCAAACTTAAAAAATACAAATGTAATGTATTGCATCTTACCAGTCCTTAGATGTGGTGATTCATCTTCTTCTTTTTTTAGGCTTTTTTCCCCCCTTTATTTTCACCTGGTGAACTTGCAGTAACACATTTCCTGCCTTATGGTCTCCCTACTCTATGGAGGAGCAATGGAGCCACCCTTGGACCACAGCATTGTCACCCTGTGGAGGTGGAGTTGAATAACAAATTAAACGTGAACTCGGCTAACACTTTCTAAGCAATTACAGCAATTGTTTATTTCCCTTTTGGGATAAAGATTTTTAATAAATGAATAAAATCTGACTATTGTCAGTATTAAATGGTTTGTATCAACTTTCTAGCTTCCACTTTTGCTGGACAGCTTGGTCTGTTAAAGGAAGCTAAAAAAAATAACAGACTTGCTGGCCAGATCACCAGGTGATAATAAAGGAAAAAAAAAAGCCTAAAAAAGAAAAACAAGTGCAGCCAGCACATCTAAAGGTGCCCACACACCTTGCGATAATCGCGGGAAATCCCGCAATCGTACGACTATCGCAAGGTGTGTGGAAGCCGTGCGACCTCTGCTACTGTAAGGTCGCACGACTTTTATCTTACGAACATGTTCGAAAACCCGCCGAGCATCATACGATGTTCGGCGGGTGTGTAGCATGTTCGTAAGATAAAAGCCGGACGGGCCGGTGTGCGCAAGCGCACACTGCCCGTTCGGCATTGCGGTCATCGGAAGCGCGCCCCTCGGGGGCGCAGCTTGCGATCATCGCAAGTACGATCTGCCTGTCCAAGATAGGCAGATCGTACGTTTTTATTCATTACCTTACAACCATCGCAAGACAAAAGTGTTGCGATGTTTGTAAGGTGTGTGCCCAGCCTAAGGCCCCATTTACACTGAGCGGATTTCCACCGCGATATCGCACATTTTTGCCGCGTGATATCGCGAGAAGTTGCTTGCTAATTATTTTCAATGGAGCTGTTCTATTGCACAGCTCCATGTCGCAGTGGCGTGTCGCTTGTGCAGGACCCTTCGCGGAGGTCGCGCAATTTTTCTTTTTATGCATGAAGCCCGGCGGTGAAGGTCGTGCGATCGTCGCCCAGAACAGTCGCGCTGTCCTGACCGCGCGGATCCGCTTGTAAGGTATGTGGCTTAGTGTGAATGGGGCCTAAAGGATTGGTAAGCTGCAACATATTACATTGTTGCTTTTGGCTTTATATACCGTTTCATATACACAGGAGGTTTTTTTCGAAGCCCAGTAGGATTCATGTAACCGAGATATAACTCGTAACCGCAAGGTCTGGTTCACACCTGTACGTTTTGTAGCGCTCTATAAAACGCTCAAACATTAAAAGCCCACTGTTTTCTATGGGTATGGTTCACACCTTGCCGTATTTAAGCCCGTCTGAACGCGCTACAAAACGGCCTACGCCTGGAAAGGTACATGAGCTTCTTTGCTGCATTTTTGTCTTGCGTTTCCATTGGGATACAGCCAAGTAGCCCTCGGAAACGCGCGTTTGTCGCACGGTTTTTTTAACGTGAATCGTGGCATACACGAAACGCGCATATTCGATACGCCTAGGTGTGAACAGAGCCTAATACACGCAGACACTACTCTGAGTTTGTTTCATTCTCAACGAGACAATTGAATGTTTTGAAATGCAAATGAGCGTCCCCGACAATGATAAACCAGAAGGCTCCTTTAGTGTAAGTGACATAATGGGAGTTCTGTCATGTACATGTTTTCTGTCTCCCTCTCCAGATACCTCCAGCAGAGTGGTGACATTTATACCACTGGAAGAGCCAAGCCAGGGACATATTCAGGTCAAGAAAAACAACATTTATCAAATCCGTCTTGCACATGTCGCGGATGATGAATGGTGAGTGGAGCCGGCGAGGGTTTTCTGTGCTGCATATATTAGCATTAAGTCCCAATGTCTGCTGTATGATGTATGGCCTGCTCCTGTCACCCAGGTGGTCAGTGGAAGCTTTTCATTTCTTAATTGTACTCGTTTATTTTCCTCTTATATGGAGTTTCGTGTCACCAGCAATGTCACCACCAACCACTGCGTAGTGGCTAGTTCATTAGCGATATGACAATATTTCCCCTGTTTTGTCTAGAGGCAATGGATGCCCCCAAAGCAGATTATAGATCAAAGGAAACTGCACCTTTAAAAAATAATAAATGCACGCTTTATTAAAAACATTTTTTTTTCCCCAAGCGAGTCAGTAATGCATTGAAACCATGATTAGGGATTGTGGGTGCAATGCTCTGGCCTTGCAGACTCTTCCTCCCATCCATGTCCATACCTCAGTAGATTCAGTAACATGGATGGGAGGCAGAACGAGTAGACTAGAACGATAGGTGACACTCCTATTTCCTTTGTCAGCTTTGCAGCTTCCGTTGTCACATTTCCACCTATAGCTGAATCAGCATCATCACCTTTGTCTTATGAGCGGGCAAGAGACTGGAAGGCCATTGTATCTTGTTTTTGTTGGTTATGTGTGTAGATGAAGCACTGAGATGTTGAGGAATGCTAAATTAAGTTTTACGTGCTTAGAAGAACATTGTATACATGTATGTAACAATACAGCATCAAATGCTAAACATATACTGTAGATCAGGGGTCTCAAACTAATTTTTTTTTTCCCATGGGGGCCGCTTGCCAAATTTCATACTTCGAAAAATAAAATGTAACTCCAATGGGTCACAGCGGCCGCTTGTAAACGCCAGATTATGGATTCCTCCTGCATGAAAACGTCAGGAATCCCTAATTGCACCTAAAGATACAGGTGTGAATGGAACCTAATACACTTCTACCAAATCCCACACACACACACACGTGTGTATGTGTGTGTGTGTGTATATATATATAT